ATTGATTATCTAATCGGAAAGAAGTTCTTCAAAAACATGTCCTGTTAGTCACATCGATCTGTCTGCTGTACTGCAAATGAACAATGTAATGTAACAGTCTACTTGAGTGCTAAAACATAAGTTGCCAAATGAGATTAACGCATATCATAATCAGACTCTATCTTACCTGGAAGGCTGTGAAGACGAAAGGGCTTTTCGGTTGGAAAACGCCATTTTCATTGAGCCATCTCTCTGGCCGGAATTCCTTTGCGTCATTACCCCATGATTCTATCATCCTACCCATCGCATAAGGTAAATATGCGATCAGATCTCCTTTATGGGCAGTGAAGCCATGAGGCAGTGTGTCATCGGCAAAACACATCTTCCCATCCTGTGACAGTGACACCACCCACAATACTTCTTTCAAACAAAGCTAATGGTCTCATTATAATATGTGCATAGCCGGAAAATCATATTAGGTCGGGCTAGAAGTTTTTCTTTTAGCAATACCCATGTAAACCGGAAGGAAAACTAAGACATTTATAAAATCAAAATCAAACAATTGTGTGTAGCAAATTTCTTTTTTTTTTTTTTTTTTCATGTTTTACTCTGATTGTGCATGTACTTACCACTGGAACTGCGGGATAGAGTCTAAGCGTCTCAGACAACGCTGCGTGGAGATAGTTCATCTTGCCCAGGGTTCCTTCATTTACTTTGGCTGCAAATTCCTCAATGCTTAAATTACCACTCACTTGGGTTGCTTGTATTATTTCCTTTGCAATCTTTTCCTGTATATCAGGGTGCTTGCAAAGCGAGTAAAAAAACCAAGAAATAGTGGTAGCCGTTGTGTCTTTCCCAGCAATCACAAAATTGAGAACTATGTCCCTTAAGTATTTTGGATCGGTTTCTTTCAGTTCCAAAAACCTTGACAGAATGTCTTCTTTCTTCCCCTGTAAATTTGATTTGTTAGCTAATTACTCAAAATATTACTAAAACTTTGAACTAAACTGCAGATGGTTGAAGATGCTATACTCACAGATTGTGTATCATCACGTGGATTGTTTATTTGCTCAATTTTGCGTTTAATTAATTTGTATACAAATTTGTCAACCACTTTGATTCTTCTTCTCAATTCAGCCTCTGATCCAATGTTCAGGAACCGCTTAACCTTCCAAAAGAGATCGGCAAACCGGAAACTGACAATTGCATTTGCTGTATCGAAAGCATCAGCGAATCGAGCGCCTTCTTCATAAGTTCTAGATAAAACATCTAAATCTATTCCCAACATGACTTTAAACACAGAGTCTAAGGTTGCTTTCATGAAAAAATCCTGCAAATAAACGCATATTTATAATTAATCAATAATCATCAATTAAACGGAGTTAATAATACCCGTTCTTATGATACCAAAACGTTAAAACTTATTGATAAAGAAGCTCATACTTGCATGTCTAACGATCGGTTTGATACTGAAGCTTCAGATACTTTACGAGCAAGCTTTACAGCAGTAGTTTTAAAGACTACACTGCTAAAATCCCTCAGTATCTTGGTGGAGAATTCATAGCTTGATAGTTTCCTTTGATGTTTCCACTTGTCTCCGTCTACAGCGAAGATCCCATCACCTAGTAGATCGGTCAAAATATTATACTGGTACAATCCCTGCTTCCATAACCTCGGTAGAATTAGAATTTTCATCTAATCATATACTATGTGTTCGATAATTCTTTTGGAAATTACAAAAAGAGTTTCACTGGTAAAACTGTTAGAATCAATACGCAAAATTCTAGCGAAATTTGAATTATGCTCACAGTTGATGTCAACTACTTCGTTTAGATGGAAAAAGCTTAGACAACTTTCACAATTAATAGTGAAAAAAAAAAAAAAAAAAAAAAAACACAACCTACAAAAAAAAAAAAAAAACAACCTACACATACAAATATGACCGGAAATGAGTAAGAAATAAAAGAAAATGAAATACAATTCATTTCGGGGCATTTATGTGGATTTTTTTTCTTTTTTTTTTTTTTTCAAGTAAAGCTCTGATACGTTCTTACCTTGCCATAGTTAGGAAAGTTTGTTGAGGATGTGGTCAACAACTGCAGGATCTGACGTAAAAATCTCGTTTCTGAATAAAAGAGGCAATCTGTAAGTTTATATTTGCGTGCAAGGCAGCCGTGAAGTCATGGAGCCTGGGAAAATTGTGCTGGGCCAAGGATAGTGGTGCCAATAGGGGATATTTTTAGTCTTTGGCGATCTTGTGGGACGAAATCTGAGCACGAATTGGCAGAGCAATGCAAAGCTGCCGCTGTAAAGAGGATGAAGGAGGAAAATTCTTAAGGTCGATCATGGTAATGGATAAGCAAAGCAGAGCAGGAATGTTTGGTCAAGGAGATTGTGAGAGCTGATTGTCACGTCTTACAAATTATATAGCAGAAATGGGAGATCGTGCGCCAAACTTCATCAATAATGATATTCGTGATTCACTTTTTTTGTTTTAATATATTTCACGCCAGTTCCAGCTTTTAGTCCATGTGTAAGTCATTAAATCTATTTTAACGAAGTACTCTTATCATTTTCAAAATATAATTAGGAAGATAAATTTTTTTAATAATAACTTAATTCTAAAAAATGGGTATTAACAATTAAGCTAACCACCACTTGATGGCCAGTGGTCAACTAGAATTCTAAGTGTATTGTTTAAGAGATCCTGAATTCGATCCATTCAGTTTCTAGGGGGATGATCATTGAGAAAATTTATCCGACTATTAACTTCAAAACTCTAAAGAACTAGTTGAGATGCACGCAAATTGTATGGACACTCTCAATCAAAAAAAAAAAAAAAAAAAAAAAAAAAACTATTAAGCACACATCTGCGGGGGAGCATTTAGCCCCACCCCAAGAAACATCATTAATTCCTTAAAAATAAACTCTCATTAAATATTCATAAGTCTAAATTTTTATATTTATAGAATTTCTTTTGTAATTAAATATTTTAACTTATAATTACTTTTTAATTAAAATCTTAGTTAGTATTATTGCATGGAGAATATACATTTTAAAAAATGAATTTATCTTGCTATGGGGGCTAAGAGTAAAAACGACAAATGAAGTAAAAGATAATCGTTTTCTTATATATTAATATGTTTTGATTATTGTATTAAGTTTCTTTTCAACTCAATCTAAGATTTCTAGTATCATCTAGGGCTGGTCTGTTTACACCCTTGAAAACTTAGAAAAAATGAATCTTTTATATTAAGATATATTTATGGGTTATTTGGTTTGATCACTTAAAACTAAGAATCAGTCATTCCTCTTAATGAAAAAAGTTAAAAATTTTGGCCACTAAATATATATTTGTTTGTCTTAAATGACTTCTCCAAAAATATTCCTACTCTAATATTTAAATTCCAATCATACCCTTTAAAACCTTAATCTTTTTTAAGCTATTTTATTCACATTATTATTTTATTTTCATTGTAGCAGACGCAGTAGATATACATAATTAAAAAAATTAAATCAAATTATTTGTAAAATTAAAATATTTTCGTTATATTTTATGAAATTCATGATTTTTAATACAAATTATAAATATATATATTATACATTACGTTGACAAAGATATTTAAATAAAAATAATATTTTTTAGATATTTAAAATTTGTAAAAACAAACACTTAATATTTATAATCAGATATTAAAAATTACAAACAAACATATTATAAAATTTTCTTCAATCTTATTTATTTTGTGGTATTCAATTGTCAGAACTACGCCACCTTAGATATTAAACCAGTTTTAAGTTATTTGATAAAAAACCAAAAAACTTCGTTGTCGTCATAAAAGAATAATTTTAAATCTCCATAACTTGGAGATTAAACTAGTTTTAAGTTATGTGCTTTGTGACGTCTTTAATACAGTAATATTTTTATCGTGACACCTGCATTTTCCAGGTGAATTAAAGGGAAAAAACATTATATTGTAAAGAGAAAATCTACACTATTCCGATGGTACCAACTCATCAACCACTTACATTCGTCGCCTCCAAATCGGGGAAAGGAGTTGACACCTCTTAAAGACAGAGGAGACGACTGCAACTTATAGTCCATGCACAAGTGGAAATAATATCACTAATAAAATATTAACCAACCATTTATCACTATATATATATATATATATATATCATTTAATTATTTATATAAACAACCAATAATCGCATTACTTTTTAAGGAAAAAAATTTATGAAATATTATATAACCATTCTTAACTTATAGTATGATTGATTGATGTGGTACTTTCATGATACTTTTTTCATTAAAATTTTAATGCACTTGGTGAGTACACTTAATCATATCTTCACAATATTTTTCAACCTTACACTCACTATTAATTATCTCTGACATCTCCCATGTTTCAAGAAATATCAGCAACACCCCATAAGTATAAAAGACAAGTTAACCTCTCCCTTCACCTTTCGAGAAATATCAACAACGTCCCCTCATCACTGTCAACCAACGGTAATTTTTTTTTTCAACTTAGATGGTTGCGCGTGGACATTACCTCCAGTGCGTTAGCTTTTTGTTCTACCCACTAGAGCTTGATAAAATGTTAAACATGTTTTAATTTTGAATTTCATCACCATTTTCTAGAACTATACATTCAAAGTGATCAATGTGTAAAGAGTCAATTGAAAGATTTAAAAATAATAATAATAAAGTTTTTATTTAGGTTGCAAAATGCCAATTTTTTTAATTTATTTTTTATGACAATGATGTTTGAATTAGTTTGTGCACATCTCAATTAATTCTTAAGACCCATTGAACATTCTACCTGTCCAATGTTCTAAGGTAAACTATAAATGTAGGTCGAACCTAAGAAGTCAACAAAGGAAGCAAACCTCTTGACCGCCGGAACAATCTTTTGGGGTTAAATGCCAATTATTAATACTTAATCCTTAATTACTGTAAGCAAATAACAAAATGGACAAACTTCTCCTATATAATCGTCTTTCAACTACCGAAAAAAGAAGCTTTGAGGGTAACCACACAAACACAACAATATAATAAACATTATATATGTTGTTTATTGGCTCCATACTTTGATTATTTAGGCAACAACCCAAGACAGTAGGAAGATGTTTAAGCATTAACTGTAGTTTCGTGGTTCGATCTAGGGAAGACACTGAGATGGAGTCCACCTTCAATATGAAGAGTGAGTGCAGTTTTGTACTTGACTGGTCTACTTTCATCATTGAGCTTGAATTTGTAGCTTCCAAGCAGGATCATAGAGAAAATTTTCATCTGTCTGTAAGCAAAATCCTTTCCTAGACAGATCCTCGGACCCGCCTGTTAAACACAAATCATCTAATTGATTAGCCATAATCAGAATTAAGTTATTCAGAAACAGGTATTGTTAGTCATATCGATCTGTCTAGCGTACTATAAATGACCAATATAACGGACTCTAACTCACCTGGAAGGCTGTGAAGATGAAAGGGCTTTTCGGCCGGAAATGGCCATTTTCATTGAGCCATCTCTCTGGCCGAAATTCCTCTGCATCATTACCCCATAATTCTTTTGTCCTGCCCATCGCATAAGTTAAATATGTGATCATATCTCCTTTATTCACACTGAAATCATCAGGCAGCGTGTCGTCGGAAAAACAAATCTTCCCATCCTGTGACACCACCCACAAGTACTACTTTAAAAAAAAGCCAATGATTGTATTATTTTTGTTAATCAATCAGCGTTTGGGCCTAGTCATAAAATCATATCAAACATTTATAAAATCAAAATGAAAATATTATGTAATTAACAACATTTTTCGTGTTCTACTTCTGATTATGCATGCACGTACCACAGGAACTGCAGGATAGAGCCTGAGTGTCTCAGACAAAGCTGCGTGGAGATAGTGCTTCTTGTCAAGGGTTTCTTCATTTACTTTGGCTGCCAGTTCCTCAATGCTTGAATTACTACTCACTTTATTTTTTTGTATTATTTCCTTTGCAATCTTTTCCTGTATGTCAGGGTGCTTACAAAGCAAGTAAAAAAACCAAGAAAGAGTGGTAGCCGTGGTGTCTTTTCCAGCAATTACAAAATTGAGAACTATGTCCCTTAAGTATTTTGGATCGGTTTCTTTCAGTTCCAAAAACCTTGACAGAATGTCTTCTTTCTTCCCCTGTAATATTGATTGTTATCAAATCATACAAATATCACTAAAACTTTGAACTAAAATGGAGATGGTACGAGTTGTTACCGGTTGTGAATCATCATGTAGATTATTGAGTAGCTCAATTTTGCTTTTAATTAATTTGTATACAAATTCATCAACCACTTCGATATTCTTTCTCAATTCAGCCTCTGATCCGATGTTCAGGAACCGCTTAATCTTCCAAAAGAAATCAACAAATCGAAAAGAAGTAAGTCCATTAGCTGTATCAAAAGCAGCAGTGAATCGAGCGCCTTCTTCATAAGTTCCAGACAAACCATCTAAGTCTATACCCAATATGACTTTAAATACAGAGTCTAAGGTAGCTTTCATGAAAAGATTCTGCAAATAAACACATAATTATAGTGAATCAATCATCCATTAAACGGAATAAAATAACTGTTCTTATGATATAGAAACTAATTTTATTAAGAAGCTCATACTTGCATGTCTAACGATCGGTTTGATACTGAAAATTCAGATAATATTCGAGCAAGCTTTACAGCAGTGGTTTTAAAGACACCACTGCTAAAGTCCCTCAGTATCTTGGTGGAGAATTCATAGCTTGCTAGTTTCCTTTGATGTTTCCACTTGTCTCCGTCTACAGCGAAGATCCCATCACCCAGTAAGTCTTTAAAAATGTTATATGCGTACAACCCCTGCTTTCATAAACGTGATAGAATTAGAATTTTCTGCTATTTAATCATATACTATGCGTTCGATGCTTCTTTTGGATGTGAACAATAAATTACAAAAAAGACTTTCAATAGTAAAACTGTTAGAATCAATGTGCAAAATTGTAGCTAAATTAGCTTTATTTCCGCAATCGATTTCAACCACATCTTTTGTAGGAAAAGCTCAGCCTTCAAACTTTCTTCTTCCATTTGATTGTCAAGAGAAACAAAATCATATGGAATTGAGGAGATGATGTCTCTATACTAAATGAACTAAATGAAAGTCGGCAGAGCTTTGCTCGTTTTCTTTTCATTCAAACAACTTACTAACAATTAGGTATATAACTACATAGATATAAAACAGGAAATGGATCAAGAATTTGAAGAAAATGAAATACATTTATCATTTTGAAGCATGTTCTGAGTTATTTAAAAACAAAATAAAAAATAGGATATTACCTTGCCATAGTTTGGAAAGTTTGTTTTGAGAATGTACTCAACAATCGCAGGGTCGGTGGTGAAAATCTCATTTCTGGAGAAGGAAGACAGTCTGTAGGTTTTATATTTGCGTGAAAGGTCAGTCATTAAGTCAAAGAGCCTGTAATAATTAAGAACTTGGTTCAGGGGAGAGGTGGCGATTGGGTGATATTTTTTAGTCTTCTGAGGCGATTTTCTGGCATGGAATCTGAGGAAGAAGATAGCAGAGATTAGTGCTAAAGCTGCCGCTGTGAGAGGGATGAAGTAGGAGGAAAACTCATTTAGCTCGATCATGATTAAGGGTAAGCAGATGAGATTTGGTCGCAGATCAAAGTAGAATTGATAATATATAAACACTCAGGAGAAGCACGAAAGCCTTGCATTAAAATAGTACAATTAACCCCACTCCAAGAAATACCACGTGCCAAGAGTTGATGACTTCAATTCACTTTATAACCAGCAATAAATTGCGAAAGTTGATGGATAGAAAACAATTTAGATTATATCCTTATCCATATCTTACATAGTGTTGATACATGATTTTGACACCGATTAAATGTATATATAAAATATTAAACTGACTTAGAAAACACACACAAATGAGGATATGAAAATAGATAAATGATGGAGAATAATATTTAAAGTGGTTCGGATGCTTAAACAAACGACTCTTACGTCCACTGATATTGTATTAATATATTGAGGTCAGGTCGTATTCCGCGAGCTGACTTATAAGTGATTACAAAGAAAAAATAAGTATGTTATTACAGAGAGAAATTTTCTAATCCCACAGACGGGAGATGAGCTTTCTATTTATAGTGGGATAGATTGAGGTAATGATTACTAAATCAGGAAATGGGTCAGATTTTCGTCCAAATCCTTTCTTATGCCCCGTTATTCACCTGCTCGAGTGATTTACTCGATTCTCGTAGGAATTGGACACGCAAATCATCTCCAGCCTTTCACCAGCCTGACGCGCACCTACTGCACTGGCAGGAACACGCCTCTTGCATCAGTGCACGACGTGGCTGCACCTGAACGACATTTGGATTTACCTAAGCTCTGACCACTTGTGCTGACAGGGTTCTGCGTCAGCTCTGCTTTTTCAGGCATAACACATAGTTATATAAATATACCTTGAAATAATTTAATTAAATGTTTATCATTTATTTTTTAATCATGACTGTATATATATTAAGATAACAGTACCATAGTTGAATCATAGAATACATCTTATTTTTTCGTGGTATAATTAAAAGAAATTAAAATCAAATCATAGTACTGATAATGTGATAACTTCCCTAGATTCGTTGTATAGTGTTATGACATTAATACCTTTACTTTTGATAATCGATGTGTTCAAGCCAGTTTACACGCACCTTAACTAGTCATAATGTGGTAGGTGTCATAAAGTTCGAACCTAAAAACTCAATCAAGGGAATAAACCTCTTTGACCGTCAGACTAATCCCTTAAATATTTATTAATTTAACTATTTTATCTTATTCTTTCATTTATTTTGTGTTATATTAGTTTGTATTTAAAATTAGGTTTGTATGACATTTAACAACAAAATTAAATAAATATATTATTTGACATGTTATATTTGGTGGTAAACTATTTTTAAGCACATGTTGAAAATAGGTCTTGCTGTCTTTCTTAGACATGTCAAATGGATAACTTTAACTCAGTGGACTTGATTCAGTCACTTTAGATGCATGCTCTATAAATTTCAATGTTTTATTTATTGAGGGTATTTTTATATACAGTATTTACCTTCTCAAAATTAATTTTTAAGATTTAGAAAATTATTTATAATTTACAATCAAGTATTATACTTTTAAAGGGAGTATTATCATTTGGAGGATAATGTTTGTGAAAACAATATATATATATATTTATAAGTTTCAAATCATTTCAATGGTAGAATCGGATTTTGATAAGATTATTAACAAAATATTCTTTTATTATTTATCTATATAATTTTTTTTTTAAATTATAAATATTTGTGAAGCACTCAAAATATGTCTACTAATTTACTAACAAAATATTCATCTGAATCATTTAATCATGATCTAATCAAACCTTAAACAATAATACAATAATTCATATCATCATTATCCTGAACTATACACATAAACATAACACCGATAACATAATTTTAAAATGGACTATACTTCAATATATTGGTCCCATTTGACCCCTCTACTCATGTCCCAATTAGGAATCTTCTTCTTAGCTAAATAATAAAATACCCTCAATCAAAATTACTTAAAAGTTAAAATGACAAAGAATTCAACTTTGATGTGCTAATTGAAAGCAACACTAGTCTATATTAAAATTAACAACAATTTATTTATATATATATATAAAATAAAAACATCAAAAGTGACCTGTTGCTTTCACAATGATTTAGGTTTATGTTGTATTTGATTTTTTTTTTTTTTTTAGTGACCGGAGTGTTTAGGCCAGTTTGCGTGTACCTCAACTAACCCCGGGGCCCTAAATTTAATAGTTGAGTAAACCTTCAGTAACCACCCCTATTAGCAACCGAGGTAAATCAAACTTAGGACCTTTTAAGTAATATTTTAAGAGTCTTTATTTAACCGTTCGACCACCTAAGGGTGGTTGTATTTGATTGTTCTTGTTCTGGGTTTTCTGAAATAGGGGTATATCATTAGATTCTTTTTTTTTTTTTTTTTTTTTAATTATGTAGTTATCAGAATTACAATAATGTTTTTTTAATGGCTGAATTCCACCCTTGGTTTCAGAAACTAACACTTGCCCACCCATTGTCACCCTCTGTCCATCAAAATTACATTTGACTGACTTTGACCTTTAAAATGTCAGTCTTACCCTTATTAATAATGATCAAAACAGTACATTTATAATACAATCACTCATATTGATATTTGATAAGTAATTATAAAAAAATCAATTATCCCAAAATTAATAATAAATTTCCAACCAATCAAAAACTAATATCAAATTAATAAAAAATCAAGGGTGGGAAAATGTATTCCTCAGACTTAGGGTGTCATTCGCCGTGTTTAATTTCACTTTTATAAAATTTAATTTCTTTTAATCCTATAATTGATGGAATTTGATTGTTTTACCCTTTTACTGTTAAATTTTTTTAACGTCTGTCAAATTTTTGGATTATTTGTTACTTCCTGAAATCCTTGGTTATATTTGTTACTTAGGCTAAACTGTGAGGGGGTAATCGTCATAATCCCAATGTTTTGTCTAAGTCAAAGCTTCCAACGGCTTTTTATTGATATTCAAAACCTATAGAAAGCCTCAAAAAGTTTAATATTTTATTTTTTTAACAATTTCAAAACTGCATCATATTATCCCTTTAAATTAATAAATTGAGTTCCACGTGAAAATCAACTTGGGCGGTTAGTGAATTTCTTGGTAGTGCTATTATACCTTCAAGTAATAGAGTAATACTACACATACATCATTTTCATACAATATTTTCTATACAACATTATGTGACAAGATATGATTGGCTAATTTAAAGTTAAAATTAAACTTTCACCAAATCATATCTTGCCACATAATATTGTATGGAAAATATCGTATAAAAATGATGTATGTGTAGTATTATTCCAAGTAATATGATTTTGTGGCCAATTACCATTGCCTCTTATCGGCGGCAGATTGCTCGATCTCTATTCTCTATTAGTCATATGATTTTAATTACTTTGCAATTAATTTACAACAGTACTTTCATTAAAGGATTATTATCCCACACCTCCTCCCAGGTTTCAGTTTTAGTTACTCATACCCCAAAGGTACGAGAAATTAGCACCGACCTTCCTTCACATTTGAAGAATTATTCTATAAATCCCCTCATTACTCTTAATTGATAGATTTCTTATTTTTGGTTTACTTTTTTACCCCCCAAGAGATTGATTAATATCACACGTATCCATTTTGGTCTAGAAGTATTAAAAACACCCGTGCTCTCAGTGATATGTTATGGTCCTATAAAAGGTTTAATTAAAGTCTATCTTACCCTTCCATTACTTACTAACTCAACAAATTTTTTAAAGCCTTTACTTAATAAATATCCCAATCCGCAAAATCAACCTTGAACTTACAATTATATTTTTTAAGGGAAAGGTTACACATTTATATAAAACATATAGTATTAATAATCAATATTAATATTTGGCTCAGGCATTATATGTTGTTTATTGGCTCAGTACTTTCGTGATTTAGGCAACTGCCGAAGCCAGTAGCTAGGAATATGTTTAAGCTTTAACCGTAGCTTCATTTCTCGATCTTGGAAAGACGCGGAGATGGAGTCCACCTTCAATATGAAGAGTGAGTGCAGTTTTGTACTTGACTGGTTTGCTTTCATCATTGAGCTTAAATTTGTAGCTCCCAAGCAGGATCATAGAGAAAATTTTCATCTGCCTGTAAGCAAAATCCTTTCCTAGACAGATTCTCGGACCCCCCTGTTCAACACAAATTGATTAGCTAGTCTAAATAACAGATTCTCAAATTTTCAATAACAAGGCCAGTTAGTTATGATCAGATTCTTATCTCACCTGGAAGGCTGTGAAGATGAACGGGCTTTTCGGCTGGAAATTGCCATTTTTATTGAGCCATCTCTCAGGCCGGAATTCCTCTGCATCATTACCCCATAAAGCTTTCATCCTGCCCATGGCATAAGGTATATATGCAATCATATCTCCTTTATTCACACTGAAACCATCAGGCAGCGTGTCATCGGAAAAAACACTCTTCCCATCCTGTGACACCACCAAGAAGTACTTCTTTCAAACAAACAAATTAAGCCAACAACGGTTTTATTATATTAATCAAGCGGCGTAAGGGCGCAGCCATAAAATAATATCAAACATTAATTAAAATCAAAATGAAAAATATTGTGTAATTAAACATATTTTTCGTGTTCTCCCTCTAATTATGCATGTACTTACCACAGGAACTGCGGGATACAATCTGAGTGTCTCAGACAAAGCTGCGTGGAGATAGTGCATCTTGTCAAGGGTTTCTTCGTTTATTTTTGCTGCAAGTTCCTCAATGCTTGAATTACTACTTACTTGGGTTGCTTCTGTTATTTCCTTTGCAATCTTTTCCTGTCTATCAGGATGCTTACAAAGCAAGTAAAAAAACCAAGAAATAGTTGTAGCCGTGGTGTCTTTGCCTGCTATTACAAAATTGAGAACTATGTCCCTCAAGTATTTTGGATCCGTCTCTTTCAGATCCAGAAACCTTGAAAGAATGTCTTCTTTCTTCCCCTGTAATATTTGATTCGTTAGCTAATTACAAAAATATTAGTAACTTCGAATTAAAACCCAGATGGATTGAGATGTTACACTTTGAGGTTTTAAATCATCATGTGGATCATTGAACTGCTCAATTTTGCTTTTGATTAATTTGTATACAAATTCATCAATCACTTTGATATTCTTTCTCAATTCAGCCTCTGATCCGATGTTCAGGAACCGCTTAATCTTCCAAAAGAAATCAGCATATCGAAAAGAAGTAATTGCATTTGCTTTATCAAAAGCATCAGTGAATCGAGCGCCTTCTTCATAAGTTCCAGACAAACCATCTAAATCTATACCCAATATGACTTTAAACACAGAGTCTAAGGTTGCTTTCATGAAAAGATTCTGCAAATCAACGCATAATTATAGTGAATCAATCATCAATTAAACGGAATTATTATCTGTTCTTCTGATATGAAAACTAATTTATTAAGAAACTCATACTTGCATGTCTAACGATGGGTTTGATGCCGAAGCTTCAGAAACTATTCGAGCAAGCTTTACAGCAGTGGTTTTAAAGACAACACTGCTAAAATCTCTCAGTATCTTGGTGGAGAATTCATAGCTTGATACTTTCCTTTGATGTTTCCACTTCTCTCCGTCTACAACGAAGATTCCACCTCCCAGTAGATCTGTCAAAATGTTATATTGGAAAAATCCCTGCAGCTTCCATGAACGTGGTAGAATTAGAATTTTCTGCTAATCATATACCCTGTGTTGATACTTCATGTACTCTATGTTGATACTTCTTTTGGATGAACGATAAATTACGAAAAGAGTTTCAACAGTAAAAATGTTAAATGACTCTGCAAAATTCTAGCTAATTTTAAATTATTTCTACAGCTGATTTTAATTACATCTTTATGAAGAAAAGCTCAGCCTTCAAACTTTGTGCAACGGCAATACAAATAAAGCTATATTAGGATATTACCTTGCCATAGTTTGGAAAGTTTGTTTTGAGAATGTATTCAACAACTGTAGGATCAGTGGTGAAAATCTCACTTGAGGAGAAAGAAGGCAATCTGAAAGTTTTATATTTGCGAGAAAGGTCAGTCATGAAATCAAAGAGTCTGTAATAATTGAGACCTGCGGACAGGTGAGAGCTGCCGATTGGGTGATATTTTTTAGTCTTCTGAGACGATTTTGTGACATGGAATCTGACGATGAATATGGCAGAGATTAGAGCTAAAGCTGCTGCTGTGAGAGGGATGAAGAAGGAGGAAACTTCATTTAGGTCGATCATGATCAAGGGTAAGCAAATTACAGAGCAGAGTAGGAGTGAGATTGTTTTAGCTAATCAGCCAGCCAAGAGTTACTGTTATATGAATTATATAGAGCAAAAGATTCTGGAGTATCCGTGTAAAATTCATTGAGATTTGTGTGCTTTATGGACTTCTTTCAGGTTTTATTAATATTATTTAATCATTCTATTTTTATCGCTATTTTACACAATTCCCGCCTTTCATATGTTTGGGCTGAGCCAAAGTTTGGCCTATCCACCCCACTAGTACCCTCAGTTTCAAAAACTATCAACGTTCTACCCTCTGTTAGTAGCCGTTAGTGAATTTTGACATATGATATGACACAGCAACAGACATGGAAAGACTATCTTGCCCCTCCCTGTAAAAAAATAACTGAAATTTTCATCTTAAATCTCATTTATTTTTAATTAAATCTAAAATAATAATTAATTCCCAAAATCATTAATCAAAACACAAAATTAACTCAAATTTCATATTTAATCTCTCATTTATCTTTAATCAATCTCAATGTTTTGATAATCAACCAGGGTAGACTTTGTTGGGTCCCAGGTTGACCTATAAAACTGGTTCGACCGGCCAGTCAAACTTGGCGTGAAATTTTTAAAATTTAGCAAATACACTCTTAAAAATTTGTTGAGTCCTTACAAGTTTGAATTTTAGTAAACACATCTCAAATACAAATTGGCTGTCGACGACTCACCAAATGCAATCTCAATCATCCCTTGAGCCCATACCCTAGAAAATTATCCCAAGATTTGGTCGAAATCAACCGATTTCGACCAAATCTAACTAACGTGGGCATTGATAACCCTCCCCATCATCATGAAAATACTCCCCTCAGCCTCCTAACCAAAAACCATCTCACCCCACCCCCGTTCACCTTTCCAAATCACAGACAAAAGCTGGCTATTGCTGCAGCTGGTTTTTTTTCGATTTCCGGTCGATTAACTCACCGGAAATCAATTTTGTCACCACCATTACGCTCACCAACACTTCCTCTTCAAAAGGCCTAACATCCCGACCTTCAATTGTTCACTGATCATCATCCCGAATTCTAAGGTTTTGGGTGAATAGGAAAATTGTTAACTCAACTCGGTTAAGGTCTTGGGTCGGTTTAAACGGTCGGGCCAGGCCGGGTTTTAAAACACTGATCAGTCTCTAAAATAATAATATATCTTTGAATTAAGAGAAAACTGAAAACAAACTTAAACAAAAAAAAAAAATAATAATAATAATTAAAAAAAAAAAAAAAACCTAACACAAATCTTCAATACTAAATTAACCATCAACTAATAAAAAAATCAACTAAAACTTAACACAAACCTTCAATAAAAAATCATTGTACATTAAAATTTTCATTAATTCGTCAGTCATCTCCATTACAACAAAATTCATCAATCTTCCATTCATATAATTCATCATCCTTCTAATTTTATATTAACAAAACCTTTTTTACAACACAATAGAACCCATCAACCAAAAGAAATTTCACAAAAAATTATCTCTTCCCATCTCATCTCCAATAAATCATAAAATAAAAAAATCAAACCCATTTAACCTAAATAGACTCAATCTTCAACCTAGATCAGATCGTTGTTCAATGAAATCGGACGGTAAAGTTTCCATGGCATTGGAAAGAGGCGACAGAGGAGAGAAAAGCGTTGAACACATAATCAAGCAAAATCATATGCTATGGGGCAACAAAAGGATATTTCTATCCACTACGCACCACCTACACATTCAAACCCAAAACTCAAAAGCAAAGAAATGAATAAAAATGTGAATGGGTTTCTTATGAAACCTATTTTGTAAGATCCCTTCATTTCGCATCAATTGAAAAAAATGATTATAATATGGAGAATATAATGTTTAAAATGTTAATTTTCCTGCTGTGGGTGCAAACTGCAGATATTAAAAGATTTTCCTTTCTGGGTTTCTTTTTTTTTTTTTTTCTCATTATTAAGCGATTTTGCATTTTATTTTACTATACTTCGCACCAATAATTTTTTTTTGTTGTCCGTGCATACACCCAATCAAATCTTCACTGTATATTTCCTACTTTATTTTATTTTTATTATACTTGGACTGGTATCTGAACTCCCTGAGATTTCAAGACACATTAAACACCCCTCCTCGCCTTCATCATCACCGTTAACTAGCGATGAAATTTGCATTCAACTTACCCCTCGATGGTTGCAGGTACGTACCTTGACATTACCTTCCTCTAGTTCATCATATGTTCTACCTACTACCTACTAGAGCTTGATAAATGTTAAACGTGTTTTAATTTTGAATTTAATCCGCATTTTCTGGAACTTTACTGTTCAAAGTGATGATGTATATAAAGTCAATTGAAAGATTTTTTTTTTTTTAAATCCTATTTACTTTGCCAAATGCCAATTATTAATACTTACAGAATAATTACTATAAGCAAATTACAAAATGGACAACTTCTATATAATTGTCTTTCAACTAGACAAATGAAGCATTGAGAGATGTCACAGAAAACAAAACATTATAATCAACATCGTATATGTTCTTTATTGACCCTGCACTTAAATGATTTAGGTAAGCACTATATAATTTTAAGCATTAACTGTAGCTTCATAGCTCGATCTTGGGAGAACGCGGAGATGGAGTCCGCCTTCAATATGAAGAGTCAGTGCAGTTTTGTACCTGACTGGCTTACTATCATCACTGAGCTTGAATTTGTAGCTCCCAAGCAGGATCATGGAGAAAATTTTCATCTGCCTGTAAGCAAAATCTTTTCCCAGACAGATTCTTGGACCCGCCTGTTCAACAGAAATCATCTAATTGATTAGCTAATCTAAATAAGTGGTTCTAGTTAACTGCATCATCAGTCTCGTGTTACAACGTAAGGGGAAAAAAAAAAGTCTACTTGAGTTTTAAGAACTTAATTTTCCAAATGTGATTAACTCATGGTTATGATCAGACTCTTTATCTCACCTGGAATGCTGTGAATATGAAAGGGCTTTTGGGTTGGAAATGGCCATTTTCATTGAGCCATCTCTCTGGCCGGAATTCCTCTGCATCATTACCCCATAAAGTTTTCGTCCTGCCCATTGCATACGGTACATATGTGATCATATCTCCTTTATTCACACTGAAACCATCAGGCAGTGTGTCATCGGAAAAACAAACCTTCCCATCCTGTGACACCACCCACAAGTACTTTCAAACCAAGCCAACGATGAGCTTATTATATTAATCAACCAGCGTTGGGGCACAGCCATAAAATCATATCAAATATTCACAAAATCAAAATGAAAATATGGTGCAATTAACAACATTTTTCATGTTCTACCGCTGATTATGCATGTACTTACCACAGGAACTGCGGGGTAGAGCCTCAGTGTCTCGGACAAAGCTGCGTGGAGATAATGCATCCTGTCAAGGGTTTCTTCATTTACTTTGGCTGCCAGTTCCTCAATGCTTGAATTACTTCTCACTTGGGTTGCTTCTATTATTTCTTGTGCAATCTTTTCTTGTATATCAGGGTGCTTACAAAGCAAGTAAAAAAACCAAGAAACAGTGGCAGCAGTGGTGTCTTTGCCGGCAATTACAAAATTGAGAACAATGTCCCTCAAGTATTTTGGATCGGTCTCTTTCAGTTCCAAAAACCTGGACAGAATGTCTTCTTTTTTCCCCTGTAACATTGATTTATTAGCTAATCACAAAAATATAACAAAAACTTTGAACGAAAACCGATATGGTTCGAGATGTTACAACTTACACTCACAGATGATAAATCATCATGTCGATTATTGAGTCGCTCAATTTTGCTTTTAATCAATTTGTATACAAAATCATCAACCACTTTGATATTCTTTCTCAATTTAGCCTCTGATGCGATGTTCAGGAACCGCTTAATCTTCCAAAAGACATCAATAAATCGAAAAGAAGTAATTGCATTTGCTGTATCAAAAGCATCAGTGAATTGAGTACCTTCTTCATAAGTTCCGGACAAACCATCTAATTCTATACCCAATACGACTTTAAACACGGAGTCTAAGGTTGCTTTCATCAAAATATCCTGCAAATAAACACATAATTATAGTGAATCAATCATCAATTTAAGGAATAACTGTTCCTGTGATATATATAGAGTACTAATTTATTTAGAGGGTCATACTTGCATGTCTACCGATCGGTTTGATGCTGAAGCTTCAGATACTATTCGAGCAAGTTTTACAGCAGTGGTTCTAAAGACTACGCTGCTAAAGTCCCTCAATATCTTTGTGGAGAATTCATAGCTTGATAGTTTCCTTTGATGTCGCCACTTCTCTCCGTCTACCGCGAAGATCCCATCACCCAGTAAGTCCTTAAAAATGTTATATTGGTACAATCCCTGTTTCCATAATTATAGAATTAGAATTTTCTGCTAATTAATCATATACTATCTGTTCGATGCTTCTGTTGGATATGAACAATAAATTACAAAAAGAGTTTGACTAGTAAACCGTTAGAACCAACGTGCAAAATTCTTGCTAAATTAGAATTATTTCCACTGTTGATTTCAACCACATCTTCTGGAGAAAAAGCTCAGCCTTCAAACTTTCTTCTTCCAATTTGATTCTCAAGATAAACGAAATCATATGGAAATAAGGAGAAGATGTCTCCATATATACGAAATAAAGTCGGCAGATTTTCTTTTCATTCAAACAACTTAATAACAATTAAATATTTAACTACATAGATATATAACTGGAAATTGAGTAAGAATTAGAAGAAAATGAAATACATTTATCAAGTTTTTTGAAAAAAGAAAAGCTATAGTAGGATATTACCTTGCCATAGTTTTGAAAGTTGGTTTTGAGGATGTACTCAACAATTGCAGGGTCATTGGTGAAAATTTCACTTCCGAAGAAAGAAGACAGTCTGTAAGTATTATATTTGCGTGAAAGGTCAGTCATAAAATCAAAGAGCCTGTAAAAATTGAGTACTCGGCTCAGGTGAGAGGTACCGATTGGGTGATATTTTTTAGTCTTCTGAGTTGATTTTTTGACATGGTATCTAAGGATGAATATTGCAGAGATTAGTGCTAAAGCTGTTGCTGTGAGAGGGATGAAGGAGGAGGAAAATTCATTTAGCTCGATCATGACCAAGATTCAAGGGTAAGCAATGCAATGCCGAGCGAGTGGGATTGAGATTAAAACTAGAATTAATTAAATATACACTGAGGTGAAGACAAATAACAAGCAAAATAAATGAGAGAAATGAAGTGAATTTTGGTTGGTTTGACTGTCAGATAAAGCAGCTGACATAAGTGCCCTTCCACAATAAAAGGATTCCGACATGACCCGAAAGCCTTGCATTAAAATAATAAGCGGAGAGTATATGGCCCCACTCCAAGATATACAATTGATTCTCTAAAAATAAAGCCTATTTAACATTATTTATTCCATTAAAATTCATAAGGTCATAAGGTCAAGTTTTTTTATTTGTAGTATTTCTTGTGTAATTAAGTATTTGAACTCGTATTTATTTTGCAAATAAAATCTTAGTTAGAAAATGATTGTTGCATGGGGAATGTAAATTCAATAAAGATGGGTTGACAACCTAATCTTACAAACTTTCTCTTACCATTACGACGTAACAATTTACAATTTATCAGCTCATAATTGAGCTGATGAGATCCACTGCGAGCTGACTAATTGAGAGTTGCTACATCGGATTGTGAGAGAAAATTTATAAGATTGGACTGTAAGCGTAATATTGCCCATGTAAATTTTAAATTTCTCTTGATTTGAGTGCAAAGAGTAAAAAGGATAAACGAAGTAAAAGATACTTTTTCTTATAGATTGAATATGTTTTTTTTTTAATTATTGTTTTAAGTTTATTTTCAACTAACTCTGAGATTTCTAATTCAGCTTACACATTAAACTAGTTTTAAGTTATTTGTTATTTAAAATTAAAATCTTCTGTGTGGTGATAAAGAATATCTTCAAATCTCCATACCTCAGAGATCAAACTAATTTTAACCTTCAAGTTATGTGCTTTGTGACATTGTCTTTAATATTTTATGTAGTGTTGATGCAAAAAATACACTAACTAGAATGATCTGAATGATCTTGATGGAATTGAAACTAATATGTGTGTGATTATGGATAACCAACAATGTAATGAGACGAAAGCAATAAAATAGATGACATAATGAGTTCTTAAAGTGGTTCGGCGAGTTATACTCTTGAGCCTACGTCCACTGTTTTTGTATTTGCTATGAGAGCTTATAATAATAGTCCTAGAACAATTTGCTAACCGCTTTCTCTTCGTTTGAGGGAGTTTATATACGGATTTTGTACAAAGGAAAGAGTGAAAATAAAGGGATTACAATTAAGATTGAAATGCAACTCTGATATTCTAGCGATTGAGCGTTGAGATTGCGCCAAGATTGCTATCGATCTGATCCCTTCTGAGATATCCAAGATTTGAAGTTATTTGTGAGCTAGTTGAACAACTGCAGTGGTTGGTCACGACTAGCTTGTGCTAGGTCGAGCTACATCTCGACGAGCTTATGCTAGGTCGGACAATTGATTAAGTCAAACTGATTTTGGATCAAGCTATAACCTCGCAATTCTCTAAGCTTGATGGAAAAATCACACACAACATCTCCCCCTAGTGGTCCGTACTCGTTTTGAGCTTCAAAGACTATTGCTCGATTTGATATCAAGCTTGGACTTCTTTGGTTGTGCGTTGAATGCAGATCCGATTGAGCTTCATGAGTCGGACTCATCTTCGATCGATGTACTCAACACTTGGCTTTTCCTCTGTTGTGATATTCTTAACAAACTTGAAATTTGAAATGAAGGGCATATGTGTAACTTCCATGTGGTCATGTCGCATTAAATACAACAGCCTTTGGCAGTTACTTTTCGTTGTGCATGGATGACTATAGCTGTCCACATGCGCAATCGAAGCAACGTGCGATGACGGTTATGATTGTGGCAGCCTAACGGTTGATCGCCCCTCGCGGATGATTGACATATGGCCACGTCCAAGGGCTAGGATTGCTCGATGAATGGAGGGCCGAGATTCACTATAGATCAACGGCTACGATGGAATCCCACCCTTTCTCTCCCAAGCAAACCACTATAAAAGCAAGCAACCTCGTCAGAGCGTCTTGTTAGTGTATGCCTTAGGAACTAATCGTATTGTCGGTTTCAGGGTATTATATCTTGTAAATACTCTTATTAGAATGGAAGAAAGAGTTTTGTTTTCACATGTTGTTTACTGCTTCATTTATAATATTTATAATGCATGTGAAATGTTCGGATGATACAGATCTTTAGAAGATCAAATCATCGAAGCATTCCCTATGTAAGTAATGTTAATTGGGCAATAACATTGCACAATAGGCATCCTAAATGCCTCCATTGAATATCATATGATGGTATTAGTGTGGGTGATTATAAGAGGTATATCACTAGGGCATTAGCATGGATAAAAGGTTGGTGAACTATTTATCGAATATGACCGATTACGATGAATCACATGGACATTTAGAATGTGGTTAATGATACATCGTAGGATCGTACTAGTGAACCACTGATCCTTAGACCCGAGTAGGGGTGAGCGGTTCCGGGTACCCTGCATTTTCCAGGGGAATCGGAACCGGAACCGCACAGTGCAAGTTCCTAAAAAAAGGAACCGGAACCGGAACCGCACAGTGCAGGTTCTTCAATTCAAGGAACCGAAACCTAAAATGCAGGTTCCGGTTCCTTTCTGGGGTACCCTATAAAAAATCAATTACCCCTATTAGTTTAAAAATAACAAAAACACCTTATAAGTTTACAAATACACCCCTAACAAATTTTCATTATTCATTCATTTGTGTCCAATGTAACTCATAACATGTAATCTCTAAGCTACATTTGAATTCAATCAATTCATCACAATTCACATACAATTCGTCAATCAAAACCAAAACACAAACAATTATTCATCACAATTCACATAAAATAACTTTACCAAAATCATTTAAACAAACAACAATATAGAAAGTTAGAAACTATCACCAAGTTTTTTTATTCTCCCACTAATTTCAATCACTACAATTATAAAACTACAAAACAACCCAAAAAGCATAACATGAGTACATGACCCATGTCTAATGCTCCAAATCTAAGTTTGCAACTGCCACAAATTGCAGTTAAGTTAAATTAATTTTACTGAAGTGAACATCAAATACAAATATATTAATTCTTCTCCAATTGTGTGCCTGCCCAAAACATAGTACAAGTAATATTAATTCTTCATTTTTATGCATTATACATGCACACAGCAGTATCAGGTCAGATAGGTCAAGTATTACAAAAGATTAAGCTTCGCCTAATTAATCGCCCATTTAGAGAAATGGAAGTACATATTGTAAAACAAATTAATCCCTAACTGTTCTTAAAAAACAGTTCAACTACAAACTCTTATTTTCAGAAACAACAAATTGTATCAACTATATTGTAAATAATACACCCTTAGTTTTCTATAAGGGAATTTCCCTTTTCCAAAACAAAAGACAAATTTAAGGAACATATATGATTTGTACATGCTTAAAATATAAGTCCAACGGCACCTTAGAAATTTGACTTGTCTGCATAAAAATATTAATAAAATTAAGCATGAGAAAAAGAAAGCACCATCAATAATGAAGTTATTAAAACCATTTAGTTAAGTATTGAGATTATTAAACAAAAAATTAAGCACATACTGTAAAGGAATATTTATAAACGACAGAGACTTGCAAATTCTATAGACTATAGGCGTGAATAACCAACTCTCACAAATCTTCAGCCACTCACTCGCCATCTCTCCCTCTTTCTTCAAAATGAAGACCCGGTAACTCAACTAACTCTACTAATGTTATTATTAAATGCTAACTCTCACCCAATTTTGGAACTGCTACAATTTGCAACTGCTGCTGCTACAAATCAACTGCTGCTCTGCTGTAATTTGCAGCAGCAGCTTGCAACTACCGTAAATTGCAGCAGACATGCACCGTCAATCTAAGTAATAAAATTCAATCATACATAGCAATCAATCATATATTCATACATAGCATTGTGCTTCGTTTCATATCACGCAGATACGCACCTTCAATCTAAGTAATATCCGCGAAGAATCAACACTTGAAGTTCCAGAAAAGTAGAAAACACAGAAGAAGAAGACGGCAGAGAGAATGGAGAAGACCAAGAAAGTAAACAAACAGAGAAGAAGACAGCAGAGTCGTAGAGGCCGAGAGAATGGAGAAGAGCAGAATTTTCAATTTGAGATACCCTAATCGAATTGGGCTTTGCTTTGTTTGTAATGTAAAATTACAAAGATACCCCATTCTTTATACTAATTTCTAACATTGTCAGGGGTTTATTGATAAGTTAATAAATTATTAATATTTTAAATTTATAAATTTAATGTTTAATTGGTATTTATAAATACCAATATAATTTGTATAATTTAATATTAGAAACTAGTAATTTTATAATTAATAAGTGATCATACTACAATGTTTGTAATGTTATAATTAATTAAGTAATATACTATTTAATTATAATGTAATATTATATTAATTAAATTTTAACATTTAATTAAGTATTGTAATATTTTTATAATAGAATGTATAATTATAATAATCATACCTAAATTTATAATATAATGTTATATAATAAAATTATATTATTTGATTAAGTATTGTGTAAATTAGTAAATTACTAATGTTTAATAATATAATGTCATAATCAATTAAGTCAATTTATATATGTAATGTTATATTAATTATATGATCATACTATAATAGTATAATGTATGTATAATGAATTAAGTAATCATACTATAAATCTTTTTAATATTATAATTAATTAAATTTCAAATCATTTAATTAATAACTAACATATATGGAATGTTATATTGATTAAATAATCATATTATAAATATATAAGGTAATGTTATATTAATTAAATTTTTAATCGTTTAATTAAGTAATGTAATATAGTAAATTACTAATGTTTATAAGTAATGTTATAAATTCATAACTAATTAAGTAATTATGTAATCATTAACTATATAATACTATAATTAAGTAAGTGATCATAATATAATGTAATATAATATATATTTTAATTGAGTAATTTAACTATAATGTAATGCTTAATT